AGATGGGTATAAGAGGCAGCCTATAAAAAGTCGAGCGAACCCTAAAATAATATAATAATACAAAAAAACATAGTATAATAGCTATAGGACAATGTTAGAATGTTAACAGTCGAAATGACGTTACATCATCATAGGACTATATGGACCTTTTTGTAGTATCAATCAAGCTTAACAACTGACCAATAGAGGCGTGAAATATGCGCTTGTCTACAATCACACTTGTCATATCCCATTGTACGTGTTCAGGTTTTATGGGCCCTTAGGAACAATATCTAAAGGGCGTGACTTAGACAAACGGTCTATCTATTGAATCATGGAGGAATACTTATAAATTAAAAAAAAACAAGGCTCTTACGATGACTTATTTTGGAGGAAAGAATTTCTCTATTGTTCTTCGCTGTTCTAACAAATCCTGACTGAGTGGCTCTCTTTTGTGCGTGAGACGGCATTTTGGATGCTCTTAGGTATACGTACCGTGCATCTCCACCTTGCCTATAGTTAGGCAACTATTAAGCCCCATTGTATCCATTCGCAATAAATATTTTTTTAATTTTTTTTTTTTTTGGAAAAGTCTCAACATAATTTTTTAGAAAGTCGCTGAATAAAATACATTACTTGATAGAGCCACGCGGCTTATTCTAATGGGGCCTCTCTCTCAAGGTCTACAACCGCCTCCCTTCCTCCCCCCTAAGCCGGGAGCCCTTTTGCGTTTGCCTGTGTAAACATTGTATAACTACTGTAGTGCCCTTCCTTTTAGCGGCTGTCGAAAGTTCTTTTTCACTGCCAATGTTGGTAAATAATTAGAATTTAATTTAGGCCCATTATTCATTAGTGCAGTGTTGTGGGTGTGTTCTTCAGAATGATATCATTAATACAGATGTAGACCTAGGCCTATTAAACGCTTATCCTCAGCCACCATATTAGCAACTATGATAGGCCCTTCTATCAATATACAAAATAATATATGCTAAAGATGCAAGCCTACTGGAGTTAGTCGTTAACACTGTTAGTCTTAATAAAAGCACATCAATATTGCTTTAATTCAAAACTAATAACGACAGATGTACAGAACATAAAGTGTCTAGTGAGGCAAAGTGTGCTATACCCATATATGGGCATTATAATGTCATATTACATCCCAAATATGGGCATATCACTTTTATTTGTCATAAAATTTGATAGTGTGGATGATAGAACTAAGAGATGGGTTTGTTGTATTGCAATAGTGTATCCAAGTGACCTTATGAGTTTGGCTTGTATGTATTGCCTTTCACTCACATGTTTTGAATATCTAAAACGAATAATGTATCAATAATATAATTTCTTAAAATATTATTTATCACCTGTTATATATTTTTTTCTTTACAATAAAAAAAATGATTATATTATGTATGCGGTACGATTAACATAATGATTAAGGTAAGGAAAGATTATTGAATTGCTAGAGGTCCGACTGCCATGATTTTGCATGCACGAAACGAAAAACATAGTACTGTACTGTACTACCACACGATAGGGGCGCCTTATTATACAGATTTGAATATAGCAGTGGTTCCCAAATTTCTTGCATTCGTGGAACCCTCGCGACATCAAAAGTCATGTACATTATTACTCAGTGTTCATATTCCCAACAAAAAAATTAAAGGCAGAAGAAAATTCGCCACGAAAGCAGGGGCGGGGCCCCGGGCCCCCGTCGGGGAGAGAATCACAATTCCTCAGGGAGAAAAAAAATGTGTATCGTAATTATTTTGTACGTATTATAAGACCCAAAATCGATTAAATAAGCCTTCAAACGCCCTAAATTGCCATATTTGTCGTCGGGGGCTTCGCCCCCATGGAACATTTTTGAGAGACTCGGAGCGACGCCTGACCACGACCACTTTTTTTCGTCGGAGGATCGGAAATTGGCATAATTTTCTTCTCTTTTCTTCCTATAAGATTATGGATAAAAGATAATTCGCCACAAAAACTACGGCATTAAAAAGCGGCGGATTTTGGAATTCGAAATAGACCTATACTATAGGAAGAGTCAGAAAGTACATTTTACAGATAAGTGCCTATGTCATTTACCAAAGTCATTTCATGATTGACCAGGGATGATTGGCAGTAAGATGTATGTCATACTATTGGAAGACAAGAAAAATAATTTAATAAAACTGGTCTAAAAATCGAGGGAACCCTCAATTTTTTGCGACCTCCTACGCACCCTTTTGACTGGGCGGACCCCAATTATTTTTCGCGGACCCCCTGGGTTGGGAGCCACTGCGTTCTAAAGACCATTATTATTGTAGTTTGTTTCGAGGTGGGATTGCGTTTTAACGAAACCCCCAGAGTCGGACATCTTGCAGTTCTATACTCTTTGGGGTAGGCCCTTAGCATATAATTAAGGGTTAATATAATTATCCAAAAAATAAATGTGGTATAGAAAGTTTTTGGATTACCTTGTGTGTGAATAGTCGGGTTTTTTTTAAATATATGTGGTCTTCAACACAAATAGTATTTTTATATATACATTATTATTTAATATTATCATTATTGGTATTTTCATCGAATGGCTAAAAGTATTCGATGCAATTAATCATTGAATACAAACATCTAAAAAGGAATTATTATAGAAGACAATACTCCGGATCGTCACAATAAGGTAATCATTTCTTTACTACCTTGACAAACTGTTATACAAAATTAACAATTATACCCATTGATTTTTTAAGAGAGATATTTAGGACTTGGACCTCAATGATTTAAATTACCCTCAAATTCACACCCTTAACTGGATCGTCCCCTACACATAATACAGTACTTTCTTCATTGTAACTTGGTTAAACTTTGCCGAAAGCTTCATGCAGGTGAATTGAACGGTTTTTGAAATATTTGTTGTTGACTGTTTGCCCTAAATCACTTTAATTTGTCCTCTCATGCACACCCCACCCTAGATTGACATCAGATATTAGGAGGCACATCCTTGATGGTCTATGCTTCGGCAAAGCATGAAAAGTTTCAAGCATAGGAAGTGACGACCAAAGTGCAGGCCAGAAAAAAAAAACAGTGCAAAAAGATGGGGAATCGACACATTGGATTGGATTGGATTTATTCGGTGTAAACACCAAGGATAGCCCACGAAAGTTTAGAGGAAGACTTATTTCCAGTGTGGGCTCCTTCTGGTGGTGATTGGGCAGTACACCGGGAGACAATTAATCTCCCACTCTTCCGAAAATAAATGCACACGTGACCAACAGCTTATAAACGTCTCATTCGAAATGCGCTATTGTAACTTGTATTTCGACTCTGAAACACAAGGAGAGGCAGCGATGGGAATTGAACCAGGGACCTAGAGATCTCCATGGTTCAGCACACACACATTGGCTACCACCAGATTAGCCGACTGAGCCCTTAACCGGTTAGCCGTCTCAGCTAAGCTGCTCTCTCAACATGGTTGCATGACCATTGACCCTAAAAATACCTACTATTTTGACCGACGGGATGACGGTCCCGTGGACACTTAAT